ATAATTAAAATATTTGAGGGGGGGGAGAAGGCCAGCTGGCAACTGTGAAACATAGTCAGTGGTGGGAAACCTTTCTGAAAATTTAACCCCTCCTTCTTCCGTGGTCCCCTTACGTACCCGCCTCTCTTACTCTTTCAGCCGAGCCGACCGAAGTACAAGCCCCCGCCGCAGACAAACCTGCTGGCCCCCAAGCTGCAGTTCCAGGTAAGCCTTCTGTGGTTCCGGTAACCCCCAAACGTCAGTGTCTGGGCCACTCCCTCTTTCCATCCACACACCCTTTTGAAAAGTCTGTGTCGTAGGTGCGCCGTTGCCGTTTTTTCCCACCTCTGCCAAAGTTGTGCCGCTGTGTGCCTATATGTGTGTGTTTTGTTCCCTCTGAGCTATGGAGCGATCCGTGTTTTTCCTGCCATGTTTGTAGCCGCTCTGTGATATCCTTTGATTTGGGTTCCTGCCCTGAGCGCAGGGGTGTGTGTGTGTCAGACTGGATGGCCTTCAAGGCCCCGTCCAACTCCATGAATCGCCGATTCTATCATGCTTGACAGCCGTGTCCATGACAACTCCCTCGTCCCCTTCTCCTCTTGCCATCACACTACAGGGGGTCAGACTGGATGGCCTTCAAGGCCCCATCCAACTCCTTGAATCGCAGATTCTATCATGCTTGACAGCGGTGTCCATGACAACTCCGTCGTCCCCATGTTGGTCGCTTTGCAGACACTGTCCAACCATCTCGTCCTCTCTCATCCCGTTCTCCTCTTGCCGTCACAATTTCCTAACATCAAGGTCTTTTCCAAGGAGTCTTCTCTTCTCATCAGATGGCCAAAGTTCTGGAGCCTCAGCTTCAGGATCTGTCCTTCCAGTGAACACTCAGGGTTGATTTCCTTCAGAACGGACAGGTTTGTTCTCCTTGCAGTCCAGGGGACTCTCAAGAGTCTCCTCCAGCACCACAGTTCAAAGGCATCAATTCTTCGGCGATCAGGCTTCTTTATGGTCCAGCTCTCACTTCCATACATCACTCTTGGAAAAACCATAGCTTTGACAATGTGGACTTTTGTCGGCAAGGTGATGTCTCTGCTTTTTAAGATGCTGTCTAAGTTTGTCATCGCTTTCCTCCCAAGAAGCAGGTGTCTTTTAATTTCGTGGCTGCTGTCACCCTCTGCAGTGATCATGAAGCCCAAGAAAGTAAAATCTCTCACTGTCTCCATATCTTCCCCTTCAATTCAAAAAGGCTAACAGTTGGACAGGGAATTCCAACCCCCCCCCCTCCACAACAAAGTGCCATCCTTCCATGTCAACCTCTCCTTCCAAAGTGCGCTTTCCACCCTGTTTACGCCTCTCCTGCCAACGTGTCGCTGTGTCTTTCTTGTTGGGCGTCCGCTGCCTTTTGCTTCCGCCTCCCCAGGTGCCGGAGGGTCTGTGTGCCAGCTCGCCAACGCTCACCAGCCCCATCGATTACCCTTCGCCGGCCAACTCCCTCCACACTCCGCCGCTCAACAGGCACAACGTCTTCAAACGCCACAGCATGAGGGTAAGAACTGGGCGGGCCGGCCGGACCACTGACCTCGCCGCTCAAGGGGGGGGGCGGGTGCAGATGAGGGGAATCAGTGTCCATGTGGCCGGGGGGGGCACAGATGGGGTTTGACTGATTCTTGTCATTGGAGGTAGGGAGAAGTCCTGTGTGCTTATGTTTTGGCAAGGAGGCAGGCAAAGGGGCAGAGGGCAAAATATTGTGCCATTTGACAGCCTGAACAAGTTCCTTCTATGTCATCTTTCATGGCTTAAATTTAAAAGGATGCAGAAGGGCGCTCATATGATGACATTGGTATTGGACACATGTCCCTGTGAGGGTGGTTGCAGTGGTGGGATCCTGACCAGATAAGGATACAGGCAGTAGGCAAACTGCAAAGCCTTGTCAATACAAGAATGGGACTCCCCGGATGCTAGTTCCCTAAAACTGCGGATCGGAGCTAAGGGGATCCGTTGCCTGCTCGGTAGCTTTGGTTACCGAAGAAATGCAAAAAGTGGTTTCTAAGCAGAGGTCAGAGTATGTCAGAATACAACACGGTCCAATATTAAAGGAAACCTGGGTGGTCTGTTTATGGAGTGCTTTAAGAAGTTGTGATCTTTACATAAGTCCTTGGAGCTATACTGGAATGTGTTTATGTAGCCGCCTTCTGCTGCCTCCCTTCCTGAATTTGTTTCTGTGGTTCGTGACCGCCACTGAGCCCGCCCGCTGCTTCTCTCGCGTCTGCCCTGTGCTTCATGGTGCTTAGCCTTCTCTCCAACTGCAGGCTTATATGTTATAAACCCCTCTGGAAAGTTCCCTGTGTGACCCGGTTCAGTGAGTTGGGGCTTTCCTCCAGTGGCGCAAGAGCGTTGTGGGGCAGGACGTCATGGAACGGCGCTCAAAGTCGTCCTGGAGTCATTTCTGCATGAAAAATGCATTCTGAGCCCTTTCATAAGTAACATTTCATTACTTATTAAAAGGTGCACATGGAGCTGACGGGACAGGCCTGTTCGTTTGGCCAAAGAGAGATACAGAACACTGGGGGGGACACGGCTCTTGTGTTTTCCCCTCCATATGACTCCACTGTCCCTCTGGATTCAGGACTGGGCAAGATTTGAACTCATCCAACAGCCTTACCTTCGAGCTCCTCTCTTTCTTTGGACCTCTTCAGCAGTCGCTGGGCCTCTTGTGAAGTCCTGGCCCACGTTATGTGGGCTTTGCAACTACACAAGACTGTTCAGCAGCCTGGGGGCTTCTCCTTCACTACCTCAACTAGGCCCCCCAAGAGGAGGAGGAGGAGGAGGAGGAAGAGGAAGAAGAGAAATACACCGGGGAGGCCTCCAAGCCCCAAGACCCCTGCCTTGCCCAACGGTTTCCTTAGTCATGGCAGACCCCTCTGCCTTACCTGAGTTAGGCTGATGGCCCAGCCCCATTTCTGTCTCCCCGCTCTTCCCAGTAATGTCTTGTGCAAAGAGGGAGAGCGCTTAACTCCCCTTATGCCAACGACGTTGGTTGAGACTGATAGGGGGGTGAGTGCCATTGAGTCCTTTCAAGGAGAAAGGTGGGGGTGAAATAAACCATGCATGAAAAGAAATGTTTCAACACAAGGGGGTGAAATCCTGTTGCTTCATGTGGTCCGTTACAGCTAGAGTAGACCCGTGGGAAGGCCTGTGGAGTTGATTCACCAAGTTGCCGCTGACTCCATTGGGGTCTACTCTGGTTGTGATCTGCGACACTAAACGGGATTTCAGCCCCTGTGTGGACTCAACATCCGTCCTCTTCACCTTTCCTTCACCCGCAGCCCTCACCAGGTCGGGAAGAGTCCGACCCCATCTATTCATGCAGGTGCAAGGCATGATGGCATGATGATGCCCAAACCCTTGTGGAGTGGTGATGCCCACACAGAGACACACCCCGCTTCATATTCCCCCCTGTTGTTTATAGGGCATGAAAACCCGGAATTTAGAAGGGTGATCCACTTTCTTTGAGAGCCTAGGAATGGCCTCACTGGGGCAGACCCACACCACACGTAGTGGGACGTCAACCGTAGCCCCTTGGAGACCTGTAAGAGGAGCATGGTGGACGAGCGCAGCCTCCGTCGGTTGTCTCCAGAATTGGTGAATCAGAGGCACGTTGTTGTCTATAAATAGAGGGATTCCGCTCCTTCTGGTCCAATGGTTCCCAACCTGAGGTTCCTGGACTAGAACTCCCAGAGGTTTCACCACGTGGTTGTGCTCGCCAAGATTTCTGGGGGGTCCAAGAACCTCTGGAGACCCCAGGTTGGGAACCACGTCTCTGGTCCCTTCAGAAATTGAACAAGTTCATGAGCTTGGTGAGGAATCGGAGACGGGAAGGAGATGAAGACGGCTTCACCTTAGGGGAACCACATGTGCGAACATCTCAAGTTTAAACACACACACACACACACCTATCACTTTCTGTGTTGTTGTTGTTGTTTTTTTTACCTGCCAAGGAGGAGGACTTCCTTCGGCCGAGCAGCCGGGAAGAGGCTCAGAAGCTGTGGGAAATGGAGCGGGCCAAGATGAGGCAGCTTCTGGAAAAGCAACAGAAGCAGATGGTGGAGGATTACCAGTGGCTGCGGCAGGAGGAGAAATCTCTGGTGAGTGAGCCAAAGGCGAACCCGGAGGGCCACCCCGAGGGTCAAGCCAGAGGCCAGAACAGTTACTAGTTGAGAATGCAGTTCTCGGAATCCTCCTCCGACCGGTGGGGGCCGCTGGATTCTGAGAGTCGTGGTCCAAGGAAGTCGCTTTCCTGGGGTCCAGAGAAACCTCAGGTCTTGTTTCCTTCTAAGCGAGTGCCAGCGTCTTCACCTCAATGGATTTTGATGGAGTGGGTTCACGCGGCGTTCAGAACTTGGGGAAGCCACCTTTGCAGTCACCGAGTCAGGATGCCCAAGAACTTGCAGATTCTGTATGATGTACTCCAGAAAAAGGAACTTCCCCAAAAAACATTCCATAGAGAAGAGAGTCATTTTTAAGCTCCTCGTATAAATCAGGGAGGGGATGCGTGGATTTTAGAAATTCAGAGGTCCGCCAGGCTGTGCCCAACCCTGGACTGAAAGTCTCATTTGCCGTTTGGGGTGTGGCTCGATTACCCCTGATTTATTACGGCTGCTGACATGTTGACCCTCTTTTAAACCGCAGGACCCCATGGTGTCAATGAACAGCAACTTCTCCCCCCCAGTAAGTCTCTCCAAAGGGCCCTCCCTCTCGTGCTTCACGGCCCTTCAAGGCTATGCTCTGTTCCCTTTTTAAGCTCTTGTTTCTTCCTTGCCTTCCGACTCCAAAAATAATGTCGTGATTAACAGAATTAGAAGTTTGAGGAGGCTCCCTCCTGAACCGTCAGCCCTGCCGTTGCGTCTCTGCAACCCCAACCTCTCTACCCCCCCCCATGCCCTCGCTCCCCCTTTCTAGGAAAAGACAACCCTCCTTTTTGGCTTGCTCCCATGCAAACAAGTAGCACCCCATAGAAAAGGAGGCAAGGTGCAATGCAACCTGTTTGAAGTCTCTTCTCTTGGGGCATTTCTTTAACCCAGAGCTTGACCCTGTAATTATGGGGGGGTCCTTGCACTGCTTCCAGCTCCTGCTGGACTCAAGAGCTTGGCTATTTTTAATATTTTAGTGGTCTGAAAAAGGTATCACCCAGCCTGGTTTTTGCGGATCTTGTTCAAGGCTTTGTGGCTTTTTCTCTTTCTGTTTCTTCTTTGTTTGGAGAGGATGGTGTTCTGCCCCCTCGCCTGTGCTTTTCCCTTCCGGCTGATCTCTCTCCTTTCTGCATCACAGTTGTAACCCAGTCTGTATGTTTACTAGGGAGTCTTGCTTCTGAGTAAATATACATGGGATGGCACGGCATGAGCCAAAGTCTTGGAATTCACTGGTATCCCTTCTTTTTCAGAAACTTCCTGGGAAAGAGATCGGCTACAGTGAGTATCTCCCTCTTGACTCTTCACTTTGGGGCGCTTCCAAATGCAGTATTTTGTACCCCTTCAAGTTTATGGTTAATCACCGAACTTAACAGAAATCGTGTATTCGCGAAGGCTTTCACGGCCAGGATCTAATGGCTGTTGTGGGTTTTTGCTGTCCTCTGAAGATGCCGGCCACAGAGACTGGCGAAACGTTAGGAAGAACCACTTTCAGAACACGGCCAAGAAGCCCGCATGGTTAATCACCGAACTTAACAGAAATCCATCCACCGTCCAGATGCCGTTCCCCTCATTTCATTTTATACACCATGTTTTAAATAGGTTCCAAGAACTTTTTGAACCCTTCCCAAAAACGGTGGTTTATTTTTTGTACCACTTTGTTCCATGGAGCAGAGTTTAGCGCCATGGTGTCTTCCCCGTTTGCAGTTGACACTTGTGGTGGTGAACTGTCCAGTCAGAAGCGCCATATACAATTCCTGATTCCCTTTTAATGTGGAAAGCTGACTAATGCTGGCGTGAGATCAGTGAGAGGGAAAGCCGCAGGCCAAGCGGGAGGAAGCTCCCAGTAGAGAGCTTATTGGGTTGCACCTTAGCGCTATATCACCTCCAGTCCAGGACACTATGATTTGGATGCAGACCCTCTAAAGGTCTGTTACCAAGTAATAGAATGGAGATAGAACAAAGTTGTACCAATTTCTTGTCTTGAACCACCTTTACCTGCAAAAGGTGCTTTAGGTCCTTTCTCTGTCATTCCTTCCTTCCACGTAGAGCTTGACATACATGAAGTGGAGGATGTTTATCCACCTTTACAGTGTATAAATAAAATCTATAAAAGCCTATATACAGTATAGTAATCTTGTTGGTTATAACCAGGTACTTGTTTGATCTTTGTTCTGTTTTTATGTTATTATAAAAGAGCTTAGCAATCAGTTGAAACAGAGCTCTTATAGAATTACTGTGTGGGGTTTTTTTCATGTTATTGTCAACGATGGTGATGATGATGATGACAGTTTTATATTTCCTGTTATTGACGGCTTAGCGGAATTTACAGGACCTCCAAAGAAGCCCCCCAGATTTACACCTCAGGTATGTAGCTGGGATTTACACCTCAGGTATGTACAGGGATGTGTTGACACTGCGGGTTAAACTGCAGAAGCCTCTGTGCTGCAAGGTCGGAAGACTAACAGTCATAAGATCGAATCGACACGATGGAGTGAGCGCCCGTCGCTTGTCCCAGCTCCTGCCAACCTAGCAGTTCGAAAGCATGTAAATGCAAGTAGATAAATATGTACCACCACAGTGGGAAGGTCATGGCATTCCGTGTCTAGTTGTGCTGGCCATGTGACCACGGAAACTGTCTTCAAACACTGGCTCTACGGTTTGGAGATGGGGATGAGCACTGCACCCTACAGTCGGACACGACTGGACTAAATGTCAAGGGGAACCTTTACCTTTACCAGTGTAGCTGGCCCTCATGTCTTACGCTCTTGACAAGCCTCCCCAGTTAGAGCCAGGATCTGTGTTACTCCTTGAGATCTGAGCTGGAACGAGGTTCAGTGAATTGCCCTGTAGGGTTAAAAATAGACCATCTCTTTCAAAGAGCTGCACCCTAAACTCTTTAGCATCTGACATTTGAGTAGCACTGTCCTGTGCTGACATCACTCCATCCTCTCCCCCAGATGTCTCTTCAGCCATCACCCACGGCGAACCTGGACCGGACGGATGATGCTGTCTACAGCAACGTCATGGACCTGGTGAAAGCCGTTCTGAAGTTGAAGAATGAAGTCAGCAACCACCCTCCAGAGCGCTACATCCTGGCTGTTAAGGTCCTGGAGCTGTTAGTGGCACCATCAAGATGAAAAGCTTGTTCGGTTCAGAATGAGAGATGGGCCCGAATCGCCGGTTCAGTAGTTCGTCTCTGTTCGTTTAGTGGCCGGACAGGTGTTTGGCCCTTCCCAGCCCCACCTCTTCTGGCGGCGCCCACTCAGAAGCAGCACCCAGAGGGGAAGCTAGGGCCCCTGAGTGGGCGCCCGCTGGAGGAGGCGGGGCTTGGAAACACTAAACACCTGTTTGGCTATTAAACAAACTGCCGAACCGAGAGTTCTTGCCCATCTCTATTCAGAACAGGAAGGGGGGAAATGGGGAAAGAAGCAGAGGCCAAAAAGAAAAGAAGGAATGAAGCCACAAGGCCAGGCAAGGGATGCTATGCTACTGTTTTAATATTTTGACCTGTTATTGTTATCTGGGGGGGGGATTTCTATGACATGTCACATTTTCTCTGCAACCTATACTAGAACCCTGGCGTTGGAAATGTGTGAAGGCTAGAGGAGAAGGGGATGACAGAGGACAAGATGGTTGGACACGGTCATCGAAGCAACCAAAATGAATTTGACCCAACTCTGGGAGGCAGTGGAAGACAGGAAGGCCTGGCGTGCTCTGGTCTATGAGGTCACGAAGAGTCGGACATGACTAAACAACTAAACAACAAAATACTTGAACCCACGAGCAAGTTTAAACGTGTTTATGAGTAATCTGGCTTTTCTCACCAGATTACTCATTAATATATCCAAACCCACCTATAGGTTCAAACACAAGGCTGCAGGAAAAAATATGACATGTCACAGAAATCCTCCCTCTACTGATGTCCAGTGAGGGTTCCTTGATGATTAGTCAAAACATGGCTGAGTATGGAACTTGGAGAAAGTTACCTCTGTCTTTCTTTTTCCTGACTAAAATACATGGGAACTCACTGGGGGCATAAATCACAAGTTAAAGATGAGTCACATCTTTGGAGCTAATTTAGCACTTTCAGGTGACATGAACAAAAATATGGAGTGCAGAGCCCAGGAAGTAATCCTATTGCTCTGTTTTGCTTTGGTCAGTCCTCGGTTGGGATTTTAGAAGTGGCCATTGAAAGAGGACATGGGCCTGTTGGAGCTGATCCGAGGGAGGGCAGCCCGCCTGGCATAAGGTCTTGGAAGCCAAGCCCTGTGAGGAAAAGTTGAGGTTTAGCCTGGGGAAGCAAAGATTAAGAGGCCATGTGAGAGCCATCTCTGGAGATCTGAGTTTGTTCCCTGCTGGTCCTGGTGACCTGAACCAATGGATGGAAGATGCCAGAAAGGAGATTTTGACTAAACACGAAGAAGAACTTTCTGGCAGGAAAGGCTGCTCAGCAGCGGCCGAGACAGGACTGGAATCACTTTCCCTGAAGCTTTTCGAACAGAGGTTAGGAGGCCACCTCTCAGCTGCTTTTTCTGTGGATCCAGGAAGGAGGCTGGACTGGATGACCTTTGGGGTGCCCTTCAGACTCTTATAATTCTATGAATCCCTCCGGGCAACAGGGCCACTGGCCCTGCTGCCTGAGGTGTTCCGGGAATTGTCACACACACACACCCACAAAACCCCTAACGTTCCAAGCTTTGCTAATCACTGATTATATAGATTAGGTAAATCCCTTGAAGGGGATCAATTAGCGCCTGTTTCCCGAAATGCACTTCCTGTGCTTGAGAGCGCCAGAGGGGACACAGATCCTGTTCGGGCTTAGAACAGGCCAAGTGGTGTTTACGTTACCTTTGCTTCTCCCCCCCCCCCCCCATGCAAAATTCCCTTCGGAAACTCATTGGGAGCGTTGACGACATTCTCCCGGCTCTGCCTTCATCTTCACGCACCGAGGTAGGTCCCGCTCAGGGGTCACTCCTTTTTCTGGTTCTTGGGTGACACCCTTCGAAAAAAAATACTACTCAAACAGCTGTCCCCCAGAGGAGGAGGGGCAGGATGTGTTCTCGATCCTCCCAGAGTTCAGGGCGCGTAACAGTGGGCTCAAGCTGCAGGAAGCCAGGTTGAATATCTGGAAAAAATGTCCTAACTGTTAGAGCAGTATAATGATGGAGCCCATGACCTCAGGAGGCGGTGAGGGCTTCAACGCCAAAGGCATTCAAGAGAAGAACCATCTGTCAGATCTGCTTTGGTCTGGATCTCTGCACTCTGAGTAGGGGGTTGGACTGATAGCCTTATAGGCTTCAGCTCAATTATTCTATTTTATAATTCTGTAACACATCTTCTCAACCCTGAGTGCTCACTGGAAGGACAGATCCTGAAGCTGAGGCTCCAGTACTTTGGCCATCTCATGAGGAGAGAAGACTCCCTGGAAAAGCCCCTGATGTTGGGAAAGAGTGAAGGCAAGAGAAGGGGACACCAGAAGACGAGATGGACGGACAGGGTCACCGAAGCAACCAACATGTCACTGAAGGCCCAGCCTCTCATCAGTTTGACCCAACTCTGGGAGGCAGTGGAAGGCAAGAGGGCCTGACGTGCTCTGGTCCATGGGGTCACGAAGAGTCGGACACAACTAAACAACAACAACACATCTTCGTTATAATCCACATAGAGTGCCAGAGAGAAGGAAGGGTCTCCAGGCAGGGGGTGGCCTCACATCCAGGACACCCTTCCCTCCATCCTGGACATCTCCATCAAAGGCTCTCGGGTTAAAGAGTTGAGAAAGGTGCCCCAAACCCCCAAAGTTTGGGACACGGCTACTACTTAGAGTAGGTACTAATTTTGGACCATTGTTCTGATTCAGTATAAGTCAGTGTCTTACGTTCCTCTGGGAGCAACTGCTGTTGTGCGGTGAAACGGGAATCTGTAAGGATTTAGAACTTCCACGTGGCATTGCTAGATAGTCCAGGGGTTGAGGTCTCTGGCTGTGGAGCCAGAGGTTGGGAGTTCAATTCCCCCACGTGGGGCATCTTTGACATGGGCTGGACCTTCCAGTTCTGTTGTTCTAAGATGATGATGTTGATGACCCCCATTGCCCTCCCCACCCCTGAAAAGCACTAATTCCAAGGCAATTCCTGATGCAAAAGGCCTCGCTTTAACCGGCCCTTCGCGTTTAGCTTAAAAAGAGGTCTACGACTGAAGCTCACCTGTCTGTCTGTCACTCTCTGTGTGTGTCTGCGTTCCTTCCCCGTCGCCAGATCGAGGGCACCCAGAAGCTGCTGAACAAGGACCTCGCAGAGCTGATCAACAAGATGCGCCTGGCCCAGCAGAACGCCATGACCTCGTTGAGCGAAGAGTGCAAGCGCCAGATGCTGACCGCTTCGCACACCCTGGCCGTGGACGCCAAGAACCTCCTGGATGCCGTCGACCAAGCCAAGATGCGCGGCAACCTGGTCAAGGTCTCTTTTGAGTGACCGAGCGTGCGGGGCAGGTGGACAGGTTAGTCGGTACGTTGGTCTTGAACAAACCCCTTCCAGCTTCCGTCGTCCGTTTCCCTGCCTCCCCCAGCCGCAAGATGCTCACGTCTTTGATTTCGTCGCGTCTGTCTTCTGCAAGCAAAAAAGAGAGAAGAGACTCCCAGGAGGAGCCATGCTCAGGGCAGGGAATGGTCGTCTCTCTTTGCGGGTTCTGCGGACAAACGCGGTCAAGGCGCGCGACCGTGCACGCCGTGGTCCTACGGTGGAAATATTCCCATCGGAGACTTTGGTCCGCCCTGTGGCCCCTTCAGAAAATGCAGCCTCCCTTCCTGTGTCTACATTTTGCTTCCTTTGAGGTGTGGTCGGTCTTCTTGGTGAGGGAGATCACCAGTGGCAGGACGGGCGAGGTTCCCCACGTTGTTCTCAAGGAAATGGTGGAGGAAGGGACCCTTTCGTGGCTCCACGGATGCTCAAGGCCTGGGATCCGGAGAACAGATTTGGTGTCCTTTGGATTGGGGCCATCACAACAGCCGCGGCCTCCTTCGAAGAGACTCTGTGTGTGTCTTTGTACTTTGTGCAGAACCCTTTATTTAAGGACGGTGCCCGCACAGTGTGCTTGGAACTGTTCTGCCGTGAATCTTTCCTTCCCCTGAATTTCTCCGAGTTGAGGATGCTGCCTGAATTTCTCCGAGTTGAGGATCGGTTCCTCGGGTCTGGGGAACGGGTCTCCTTCGTGGATAAAGGAGGTCCCAGCTGGAGAGAGATAAAAGTTTCTCAAGGATGCAAGAGTCGAGGCTGCCTCTCGCAGCAAAAAAAACACGGAAGAGTTTGATCGGGACCGTGACGACAAACAGATACATGAAAGCATCCATTTTCATGGACTGGAATTATTTATGGTAATGAATCTGTTGGTCTGAAAGGTGCCCCCCCCCCAAAAAAATCTCTTTTTGAACAGTCTTTAAAATAAAATTAAAAATTAAAATGGCCATTTCTGGTGACAATGATTCAGGACAGAGCAATGGAGGGGGGGGAATATATCCTTCCTCCATTACAGATCAGATCAAGGCCATGAAAGAGGATCCTCTGCGGCTATTTTTGAATTTAAAATTTTGTGTTCCTTGTCAGGATTTGAAACAAAACGTGCCAAACATCCAGGTTTTGAAGGATCAGAAGCCATTTGAATCCCAGTGACTCGAACACAGGTCTTCCCTCACTTCCCAAGTTATCAAATCCTTTTTCATGTGTGCGTCTCTCTCTTTCTCTTGTGCCTAATAAACCGGCATGGTTAGGACGGCAGATCGAAGCTTCTCTGTAACACGATGTGTGTGTGTTTCATCAGGCAGCAACATATAGAAATCTCTCTGTTCGGTGTGCAGCTTTTGAGCGGAGAAACTGTACGGTTTTACGGCTGTTGCCATGCCTCAGAACGACGCTGTTATTTTTGCCTGAGATAAATGAGGTACACCGTTCTCTTGTTGTCTTGTCATTTTATTCCACAAGCGTCGAGGAGTTGCAACCCACGAGGAGCGTCTTATCCCATGATCTAGGCTGGCAGTTTCCTTCAATGGTGGAAAACACCGTCATTTTTCTGAAGGGAGGCTCTAAGCTTCCTCTCTGGGGTTTCTGGGTGAAAAAACTTCAGGGTGGGGTGGCCACTGCTTCTCAATTGTTCCACTAGGTTTCTGTGCATGATCGTCTCACCACCCTGATGCTTGCTGATCTGTTGCCCATTGTGGGTGGTGGGTGATTTGACGGCATCTCCTTATGGACTCATTGAGAATGGCTGATGGTCGGATTCCGAAAGATCACCTGGATGGAGAAGGAGTGCAGGGAAATTGTACAGCAGGCCGAGGCAAAGAGGAAGTCCCAAAAGCAGCAAAACCAGGGAGCTGGACAGGGGACAGATTGGATTTGTCTTCGGTGTGGAAGGGATTATTGTCACTCTCGAGTTGACCTCGTCAGCCACGCTAGACGCTGTTCCAAGTCCTCCATTCAGAGCACATGTACATCGTCTCTCGAGACTGGAGGATGCCTAATCTAATCCTGCTGCTCCTTCGTTCTGCTTTTTAAATGTCTTTCTTGTCACTTTTGTGCCCTAGCCCTGAAAGTGAAAACTAAAAAATTTAAAAAGCATGTATCAAATTAGAAACCATTGGGGCTGAAGTTTTGGGAACTGTGGGTAATAAAACAAGGGTGGGGGGCCCTAGGTTTTTTTTTTAACCTGATTCCTTGAATCTGATAGAAGAAAGTCTTGTTTCAAGAGCTGCATGCTCTTTTAGCTGGGATTCTCCATCCTGAAAGGAGCCACACAACAAAGTATGATATTGACCAGGGTCTCAACTGAACTTCGTCTGAGAGCTTCCCCCAAAAATCAGGGCTTCGTCCCCTTGCTGAATAGTTCGTTCAGAGTTACACTCCTGCCAGATCCCCTATTAGCCCCAAAGCAGCGTACAGTTTTCGATTTGAGAATAACTCTTTGTATACACCATGAGCTTCCAGATTCTGCCAGGACATTGGAAACTCTTTCACATGGCACAAGCTGGGAGACAAGACGAAGCAAAATCCAGAAACCGCTAGAGATAAGATGAATTACTGTACAATTTTGGAAGTGTGTGTGTGTGTGTGTGTGTATCCAGAAGCCGCTAGAGATCAGATGAATTACAATTTGGGAAGAGAGAGAGAGAGAGAGTGAACGGAATGGAAATCGACACCTGGAAATTTTACACCATAAATAAATAAATAAATCCATCCCAGTATTTGGAAAAGTCAGGTTATTAAAATTTTTATTCTCTCCCCATCTTGAATGGCGGGGAACACATTTTATAAAGAAACGCTGCCGTCCGCTACCTAAAGCGCAGCTGATCCCACAGGGAAGCAACTTCAGCTGGTTGGCCATGCTGGTTGGGGGGTGATGGGAGTTGTTGGTCATCCGACATATCTGGAAGGACCACTTTGAGGGAGAAAGGGCCTCAAATGCAAGGCGGCTCCGAGGGGCGACAGAGAAAAGCCAAAGGTGGGCTAGGCAGGGCAGAGCTAAGACCCCCCAAAGATAGGAGGGAAAAATAAAAACCTTTTTGGCCTGAAGCCAGGTCATTTCCCCTGTCCTGGAAAAAGAATAAAAGCAGCCTCTGGGGCCTTCGGTGGGGGATCTCAACCTGGTCCTTCTGTGTCTTGACCCCTTGATGCTAACTATGGGGCCAGAACCCGGCAGGAAACAGTGGAGAGCCGGACGCCCATCGGAGCCCGCCTGGCAGAGCGCCACGCCAAGACCCTGCACTTTGATGGGCATGGTTTCGTTCTCCTGGACGGGAGCCGTTGTCTACATTGGAAGGACCGTGGATGAGCGTTTGGGGAGCCCTTTCTTTCTGTTGCAAAAGCCGGGGTCCGATACTCTGTCCGCCTTGGCAAGGGGATGGGGATGAAGGGACGGAGCGAAGCAGATAGATGCAGGCTTCAGTTTTGCAGGCTTCAGTTGGCTGCGGTCACTGGGTTGAGGAGAAGGTTTCGCTGCTCTCCTAAGAGCATCGCCAACTCATCCCAGTTAATTCTTTTGCCCCCCATGTGCCCTTCAGGGATCCTTACGACTGACTAAGCCTCGTTGCTTATTCTCCCTCTCTGTCCCCCTTTCCTCTCTTGTTTCCCACACAAAAGCATGCTGTCCTAAGGGCAGGTATTTTGCTCCACGGAGCTAACCAGAGGTGAGCACTACCAGCAGCTTTCAAGAAAATTCTCAAGAAGCTGGTCTGCCAATGTTTCCATACCGCCACTTTATGCCTCGGTGGTCCTCTTGTACGCCCATCCTTGACCTCTCCGAATAATGAGAGGTGAGGGTCTTCCAGAGGAAAGTTCCCTGTTACATTTCCTCCGTTGTAAAACCCAGTTCCATTAATGGACAAAGGATGGACGTTTTCAGTCCCAAGGCCTGGAGAGGCTTCTGATCTTGGCTTGCCCTGGATCTACCGGATAATTCCCTCGCTGGAGCTGTTGGGTGGGTGAATCAGACTTTGCGTGGCCTCTCCCACGAAGGCCCCAGGGCTGGGGTTGCCCTCTGCGAGGAGGCGCAGCTCTCCGTCCTGGGCACCACCGGTCTGACGCTAGATCATGCCCGCCAGGAAAGGGGGGAGGAAAAGACCAATCGTCCCCAGTAGGCAGACGATGACAAACATCCAGAGGAAGATGCGGTCGATCACCATGGCAACGTACTTCCAGTCTTCTTTCACCTGGAAAGGTAACGAGAAATCAACTCATGAACTGGAGAATCAAGGGAAACCCTTCCTTGAAATCTTTCCAGGACTGGAAAGCAAAAACGGAACAGGATTTTGGAAGAAACTTGATTAGACCCGTTTTGGACAGCTCTTTAGCAGATGGTTGAGGCAGCATGCGCCAAAACGGGCTGGCCAGTGAAGAGCCACCAAACCACCTGCCTCTGTCTTCCCAGCAACTGAGGTCTGGAGACAGCTTGACCCTGCTACGAGAGGTGGCGTTATCGCCAACCAGACTACTTAGCCATAGTTAAAGCTAGAGGTTCTCCTTGAATTTAGTCCAGTCGTGTCTGACTCTAGGGCGCAGGGCTCATCCCCATCTCCAAGCCGTAGAGCTAGCATTTTGTCCGAAGACAATCCTCCGTAGTCACGAGGCCAGTGCAACTAGACAAGGAACGCCATGACCTTCCCACTGAGGTGGTACCTATTTATCTATTCGCATCTTTACATGCTTTCAAACAGCTAGGTTGGCAGGAGCTGGGATAAGTGACGGGAGCTCCCTCTGATGCGTGGACTCGATCTTACGACAGCTGGTCTTCTGACCTTGCAGCACAGAGGCTTCTGTGGTTTAACCCGCAGTGCCACCACGTCCCAACACCACTTAGCCATAAATGGCCCTATTTCCTATGAATTTATCCCAGCCCCTTTGGTGTGGATTACAGCTGCAACAGAAACAGGCCTGAAGGGATATATAGAGAAGCCACATCATCGCCGGTCAGGTCCCTGAAAGAGTGACCTCCTTGCTCTTTGGCTAGTCTCGAAGAGGACAGTGCAAGACAGCCCCGTACAAGCACGAGGCTGGGCTGAATTTTTCCACTCTGCCCCCTACGTTTCAAGAGGCAGTCCGATCCATCAGAGTCCCTAACAGGCCCCTTCCCTCAACACACGCCTTGTAGCTGCGGAGTCTTTCCGCTGTTTTGTTTCTCAGTTCCGGCTGATTCGGGGACATTTAAAAAGATCGCTTAAATAAAATCTGCCACGTGGCCCTTACACCGAAGCTTTTGTCTTCAGACAGACAGAGGTCGCGATCAGCTGAGAAAAATTCATGAGTTTCTGCACCAGCACAGAAAGGGACGGTTAACCTCCATTAACCATCACTAATGAAATTAGTCTTTGAGGTCTCTGGTGGCAAAGCCAGAGGTTGGGAGTTTGATTGCACGATCAGCTGAGAAAAATTCATGACTTTCTGCACCAGCACAGAAAGGGGCGGTTAACCTCCATTAACCGTCGCTAATGAAATTAGTGTTTGAGGTCTCTGGTGGCAAAGCCCGAGGTTGGGAGTTTGATTCCCCCATGGCGCCTCCTTCACAGAGACTGGAGCCCATGATCCACAGGGTCCCTTCCAGCTCTGCAGTTCTAAGATTGATTGATTGATTGATTGATTGATTGATTGATTGATTGATTGATTGATTGATTGATTGATTGATTGATTAGGTTTCTACCCTGCCCATCTAGACCGAAGTCTACTCTGGTCTTGTCACACAAAAGCAGATTTATTTCTTCTCAGCCTGCCTTCAAATAATATTCAAAGAGGTGCTGAGTGGATCTTAGATTAGATTAAGCATCCTTCCGTCTCGAGGGACGACGGTCACGGGCTCTGAATGGAGGACTTGGAACAGCGGGATCTTAGATTAGATTAAGCATCCTTCCGTCTTGAGGGACGATGGCAACGTGCTCTGAATGGAGGACTTGGAACAGCGTCCAGTGTGGCTGAGGAGGCCAATTCGAGAGGGACACAATCCCTTCCACACTGAAGACCACTGAGTGGATCAGACGTCAGGTTAAAGAACACTTTTAAAAGTAGGACATCATTTTCTCTTGTTCAAAACTGAACCGGGGGAGACGTCCTCTTTTTTTGCCCGTCTGAAACGCCTACCCTTCAGCTTCAGTGGACGAGTGTCTGATCTGTCTTTCTTCAGAGCGACTGAGCGAGAGCTAGCCGAGTCCCTTTGGGTTCCTTGGGTAGATGCAAAACTTTCTCATAGGTGGGAAGAAGCAGAGAATGGACCACCTTCTAGGAACAGCTCCCACCCCACCCCATGTTCCTCCAGGAAGAAAGGCCCACCACCCTGTCCAGGGAACCTTCAAACTCCACGAGAGGCGGAAAAGCTTATGCTAAGGCGACTGGACACCTTTTAGCCCGTGAGCGAGGGCTATTTCGAAACAGGGAGCTGAGAGTCTCGTGGAATCTGAACACGGCCCTTTCTGGAAAGCCTGTTTAGAATAATGGCCTCGGGCTCTGCTTCCAGCGAACATCGCATGTCACTGGAAAGCAAGGCAGGTGGATTGGTGATGGTTTTTTTCCCTCTTTCTGTCTGACCCCTTAGCTCCCGAACAGCCTCCCAGGCGGACTCAAAAAGAGCAACCATCATCTTCTCACGTTAAATTAGGGACCGTTTCACTCACAGAAGAAACAGTTGCTCTATTTTGGGGGAAACTCCAAGACACTTCATGAAGGAAGGCTCCTCAGGAGCTGGAAAGGCACCTCGCGCCCTAGGGATGGGGTTGAATGGGCTCGGACGCTCAGGGTTCTGATTTAGGCTTTCCCAGAGATGACAGGGTGACCACGCAGTGGTTTATTTTTGCTCTGCCATCTTGCCCTGTTAAATTAACTTTTTTGCTGGTTTTTATTTGCGTTTGTGTTTGTGTTCCTGTTGGTTTGGTTATTATGATGGTATATTGCAATTTTGATCTTGATTAGGGTATTTTTATAACTCTGTCTGACTTCTTAAAAATTGTTGCTGTCATTGTTTTATGGTTTTGTTTTATTATATTGCAAACCACCCAAAGTGGCCTTGCAGCCAGATGGGTGGTCTAAAAGTCAGATAGGCAGGCAGGCAGGCAGGCAGATAGACAGATAGACAGATAGACAGACAGACAGACAGATAGATAGATAGATAGATAGATAGATAGATAGATAGATAGATAGATAGATAGATAGATAGATAGATAGATAGATAGATAGATAGATAG